GACGATCGTCGCGTTGTGTCTTCGCCGCAACGGCGCGACGACGACGACGTCGGGAAAGCGTAGCGCCTCCCCAAGGCGTTCCTGGAGGAGCCGAACGTCGTCGGCATGGCGTCGAGCGGCGGCAGCGTTGCTGCTGAAGTGTCGATCGACATGAGCTCGGAAGCCCGACGACAGAACGCCTACTACGCGTCGTGGCCTCAGCAGGCAGCAAGCGGCTACTTTGAAGATCGCGCTACACGTCCGCTGCACAGCACCACGGGCGATTATTCAATCTGGCTCGAGCGGGCTCTGGATTTGTCCGAGGATGGTCAGACGTTTACTGTCCAGTGGCGGAACACTGAGGGGAGCCGAGGATCAACTCGACCGTCGCGACGGTGGACGTTCGTCGTGCCGCCGACGAACTTCACGATCGAACGTGGTGAGCCGGTGGCGCCTCCGCCACGGTCCCGCACGACAACAATTAGTAGGGGCGAGGCTGCGTCGCAGCGACAGCACCCGCGGCGCGTCGCTCGGGTGGACGTCGGCGGGCGTGACGTCACGTCGCTTGAGCGGACGAGCACGCCGACGAGCAGGCGCAGAAGGCGTCACGTACACGACGGACGAGCAACCTGAATTCACACGTGCGGAGCGACATGACGGAGCGACGACGACCGCAAACAGCTTGCCTGTCGCCGGACCGGCTCGCGTCGGCAGCGGTGGAACGATCACCAACGAGGACGTGCCGTCGGCTGCCGCCCGACGCGTGTCGAACCACAGGCCCCATTTACGGCCTCATCGCCCTCCTGCTGGTTGCCTCTGCTCGTCATTTCGTCTTACGTCGCCGGCCGTCGTGTACGCGCGCGCTCGGAAGAGGATGTGCTGCTTCGAGGCGCAAAGCTAGACGACAGCGCGGCGATTGCTAGCGCTGGAAAGGCAGGCGTCCTCTGCCCGTGGTAACACAGAGCCGCTACGACGCGAAAGCGCTCTACGGCCGGCGCCGGCGACGCGACAGGTCGTCGGCTGTGTATCGCCGAGTCGCCGACTGGCACGACGGCGCGGACGTGGGGCGCCACGCCAGACCGTGCGCGAAGGGACAGGTCGTACGGCTGTGTACGCGAAAGTGGAACGACGTGGCCGACGCCAAGCGGGCGCGGTGGGCGCCACGGGCAGCACTGGAAAAGCAAACAAAAGAGGGCGCTGCTGTGCTCTACGCGTGCCACATAAGCCGAGCGGAAGCAAGGGAATCCATCCGATGGAGGCTACATCATTCGCAGCCGGTGATGCGATGAAACCTAATATAAATATATAATTATAATAGAGAACATAAAAAACATATATTATTTGTTATTATATATGATATATTTTATTATATATATATAATATTCATAATTATGTATATACCTAATGATATAACATTAATAAAATAATAGATATAATGAATAATAACTAGAGCACTCGGAGAGCGCAAGACCTCCGCCAAGCGCAGTCTCAATTTCTGTCACTGTGAGAAAAATTAATTAATATTAAATAATTAACTTGAGATCCGGATCAATTACCAAAATGTAATAATTCTAGTTACCCCATTTCTGACCTATCCTAAAAATTTATATTAATTAATTGGATCCGGATCGCACACAAAATCTAATCATCCAAGTTAAGGCCATGTCTGACCTAGTCTGAAAATTTTATGACAATCGTCCATAACTTCTGTTTGTTAGGCTGTACACAAACGCACAAAATGCACAAACCCACAAACCAACAAACACACGCCGGTAAAAACATAACCTCCTGCCAACCCCTTGGCGGAGGTAACAATAATAATAATAGGATATACTCACTATACACCACATGCCTAGTTGTTAGAAGTAGACTTAGGTGTATGGTCACGGCTAGCATTAGGAATACGGTTAGTGAGATTGTATTTGATGGTTTTTAATTTCAAATAAATACACTGCAGTGCCCTATCTGTGAGAACGGTGTTGGGGAATCAATACATGATGCACATCCGTCATTTTATGTATAATAAAGTCATCCGTGTTTCCACATCTCATCTGCGGCTGCTACCATAGATTGATTTGAGAGCGTACAAAGGAACATTGTAAGAGCTACCCTCTCCCCCTCCAGCGAACAGCGTATCTACGCAATAAAACAAATTGGTGGAGGATCTGAGCATCGATCACGCTACCTCTCGCGTATAGTTCGCCGTATTTATTGGTGGACTTATTGATTTATTCAGTGGACTACCACTTCCCTCTGTTAGCTCCATTTCCTCGACCGCTTTGCTAGACACTAACCCGGTGCGAATAGAGGTGCCAAGAGCAGTTGCATGCTCCGAGTACAAAATTTTCACTCTTGTCGTTCCTTGTTTTTTATACACTACTAAAAAACATTTAAATATGGAGGTCTCCTCCGTCTGAATTTATAATTATGTGTAATATAATATTTCAATGCACATGCTCAAAACATACGACATTACGCCATTTTCGATCATTATAGGTCACCTTTCGGCATAAATATATTTATTCTGTCTTCAACATTGGATCCACTACCAACATTTGTGGTTCGGACGGAAGCGTTTCCTCTCTGAATTATGCTAACTGTATATATAGCGCCTACAGATGCGGCCACACCTAACATTTGATGTACGTTGTATCCTGTGTGACGTGTACCATATTTGTTTACCATTGCAATACTTGAGTTCTCGTAT